AGTTCTTCTTTCATCTCATGTTCTAATTTTCTTAATTTCTCAAAATGTTGAAGTTTCCTGGGAAAACTCCCGGAAGAAAGCCGGCAATCAATTGTCCGCTGTCCAAGGTAGAGTTTCGGAGAGTTTCAGTGTCGTGTTCTGTTTGTTTCCGTGCAGATACTTGAGTAATCGGTCTCGCGAAATCTTCGACAGCAGCTCGATTTTCTGAAGATATTTCAATCGCAACACACCTCTCTTTGCCTGTTCAGCTCTCTCATTTTTTTATCGGTGTACGTGGGGCGACTCGAAACATCTGTGACAAGCTGCAGCCAGCTAGATTTCTCGCTAAATGTCCACTTGCAATTTAGTCCTTAGTCGTTTTTTAGGAGATTTTATCGTCTCAAATGGTAAAACTAGATCATCCGGCGTTTTGATCTAGAAATTGTTGTTGTTTACCTTGTAGATGTTTCCGATTAAGCTGCTGCGCTGTGTGTATGTTTACCTGCTTAATGAAGTGGGAAAGGTGACGAGTGGCGGTGAAAATCTTCTCGAAATGAAGAAAGTCGCATGGGGTCTTAGACTTATTGTTAGTAGTTCCTAGGGAGCAGCCGGATCCTCCGGCTAACGCCGGGCTCTCCTTTTCGTTTAAAAATGACCTATCGCCTACAGATGCCACAAAGTCAGAAGCCAGATTATCCTTTTCTCTGTAGAAGCCACAAGTGTGTGAAATTCCATCGCTATCAGAGCTAAACTGTCGTTTTTGCATATCACCTCATCACTATCTATCCAAGGCTCTTAGGCTCCCTTTGAACAGTTCGCAGCAAAGCAAATACTGCAAGCACAGATGTGTAGTGTGTTCATTGTGGCTGTTTTTGTTCAGGAATTCTGCTGTTCATTTCCCTACGTGGCTAATTCTCATTTTATTCTTTCTTCACACTATCTTATTTAGCGAAATAGAATAACTAAATAAATTCTGTAGAAGAACATGGTAAGTGGAAGGTTCAGGTGAAGGTCCGATCGTTCTCAAGCGCGGTTACAGAGCAGCACGTATCAAATTGAGCGGATTCTTGTAGACCGCCAAGTGTTCCTAGTAGTTGTAAGATTATCTCTTTGAATTTTAATTTTCACACCATGGTCATCCTTTTTCTTTCCTTATTTCAAATATGTATCATCAGGCCGATCTAACTTTTAAGGCCATCGGAGGAAGTTTCGCTTCGGTGTTTTTGTTAGGATGTATTTCACAAGAGGAACATATGTTCTGGCGATGACAGCAGGAACAAGTAGAAGTAGGGTCGATGGAAGTGCAAACGACTTTAACCACTTGCACTCTTCGGTTTACTCAATGTTCTCGGAACGAAAAACAGGCTACGGTCCTCTCATCCGCTATGTGGCACGTCTCGTAGTAGAGTTCCTATGTCAAGAGTCATTCTCAATTTCCATTCTTCAGTGTATGGTGATGAACTTGCTAAGTTTCAAAGCTTTGATCCACTTAGCAAGGTGAATAGTCTGTTTTAACCCACTGTTTCTTAAACCAGGTATCACGTGCACAATTAATTCCGGCCACCGACATGTAGATGTCTTTTTGTGAAGTTGATGCTAAGCTTGACATTCAGAATTTCTC